GGCGACCACGAATACGATGATCGATGTCAAGGGTGGGACGCTGAACATGATGGTGTTGGGCGAGTCCATCGCCATTTCCGTTCGAGAGGGCCAGCCTGAGCCGCAGGCGAATTTGGTTGAATGGTATGCCTACCTTAGGGTGATTGAGCAGCTGACTGAGGAAGCGTGCATGCGAGAGCACGCTAAGCAGTCATTGCAAGACCGAGTTGTATCTGAGAAAGGACACTATACCAACTGCCCCTTGATCCTACCCGAGCCGAGTTCCAGATATTTTCCCGGATCCCAATGAAGGGATAGATTTGAGCTGATGGAGGCCCGCCGCTGTTCGGGGCCTGACTATCGCCACCCTCCACCTGCACCACCGGATTCACAGTGACTAGTCTAGTCACTGTGCTCTGTACGTTTGTATCTTTTCCCTTCTTTTTATTTTTGTTTTTGCTTTAGTTTTTCTGTCTTGGTTTTTCTGTTGATTGATTATATGAGTTAACTTTCCTTGCATTTAAGATCGACAATGGGGACATTGTTCGGTTTTAAGTGTGGAGGAGTTTTTACTTGATTATGTGCTTATATGGTTGATCAGGTCTAGGTCTTTTAGGATGTTTTCTTCATTTTCTTTTCTGTTTTTATTGTCTCTTCTTGAGTCAGTTTGTGTGTTTTCGAGTATGGATTGTGGTTGATTTTGAGATTGGTTGAGAATTGTTGATGATGTTGAGGAGATGTGATGATGATCATGACTAGTATATTTTGATGAACTTGATGTTTCGTTTTGTGGGACATTTATTTACCCTATGAGAGGTTTGAGCCTTATTTTGTTCTTGAGAGATATTGATCGAATTCTTGTTGATCAGAACTTGCTTTGGGTTTATTTTGAAATGAATGGATTAAAATAATGAATTATGAAAATGATTGAGGCATTTCTTTGACATTGCTCGTTTAGCCTTCTTCTTTGACCCTTGATGTGAAAATGTTCATTACTAGCCCGTTGAGCCTGAACCGTATTTCTTGTCAACCGAATTGATTGAAATTCTTGAGTCTTGGCAGTATATTTGATAAGATGACGGAGCTTTTAATATATGTTTGAAGAAGGTGTATAACTTGCTGAATTGCATTTTGGGTGCTTGAAAAAAAAATAAAAAAAAAATGAAATGAAAAAAAAATGGGGACTCGCAAGACGGACTTAAGGATTCTACTCCGCTTACTTGTTGAAATTCTTTGACGAGT